GTGGTTAGGCTTAGGCCTAGGTTTTGGCTTAGGCTTAGGCCTGGGTTACGATTCGCTTGAAGGTTTGGGCTTAAGCTTGGGCTTGGCTTAGGCTAGGCTTGGGCTTAGGATAAGGCGTAAGCTTAGTCTCTTGAATTATCCTCTTTAGGATTGAAAATCCAGGACACCTCAATGATCTCTGCTTGACTTGCCAATATTTCATTTTTTGGGCTAAATTAATTCTCCTGGTCCTGCGCTTTCCTCAATGACCTCTGCAAGCCACCTCAGCCAATCCCAAAACACCTCTACTCGCCCTTCCCAAGCCACACTTCACAGCCTCAGGCCGATCCTTTCTGGCCTTTGTTAAAGCTCCCTGGCCTTCGTTTCAGCCGATCTAGAACCGTCACGAAGACAGAGTCCATGCTCAGGCGGAAGTTGATGCTCAGATCAACAGGTTTCTGGGCGATGGTCGGCTGCTCGGGTGAATGGAGGTGGGTGGGTGCTTGTGATCAAAACCCAGCTGCGCGCATGGATCACTCGGGTTCGCGTTGCTCAGAGGATCACTGGTCGGTCGGGTGCATGAAAGATGATCGAGCCGAAATGAGTGGTCAAGGTTGGATAACGGGCGGCTCCTGCTCACTCCATCAAAACAGATGGAGAGCTGGTGCTCATTTGGGAGGTACTGTAAGTCAAAAGGTATCGCCGCCATATTAAGCCAGGATCAAGCTGTTTTTCATAATCGTATTAAAATTCTCGTAATTTCATAGCGTAATCGCTAAAGCTTAAATAAACGGACGAAATTACCAATAAGGTTTAATGTACCTGAATTGAGCACAAGCTCAAGAACGGCTGGAATCTACCCGATCTGGGCTGCCCCAATGAAAAAGGGTGAGAAGCCATGTGCGACTAGACTCTCTACCTCCCCAGCAAATCCACCGGTTCGCCTCCGAGCCTCTGGAAAACGTGCACCCCAATTACGGCCATTGTCCAGCAGGCGTGAACTTGCAACTTGCATCCCCTAAGGGTTCAACGTGTACACGTGGGTCGAAAGGTCGTCATTGGGGGTGTCAAACTGATGCAAAAATAAGGGATTTTCAATGACAAGAAAATTACAAACAGATCCTGTCAAATACAAACAAGAAGGAATACAAAATTCACAAAACTTTGCGTCAATTGTTGCTTAGCGTAGCCGAATTAAGGACTACTGGCGGCCCCAGGGAACGCTCGTACTCCATCCGGTGTCTCAGCTCGCAATAATCCCAAATCGTAGGGGAAAATGGCGCGTCGCGTACCCGAAGCTACGCCAGACTTCAAAAGACGACAGTACTACCTGCGTGGCAGTAAACTTGGGTTCTTAGTTCCGAAATCCGGTGTCATTAAGCGTAGAAGGTAGCGGAACGGTGTCAGTAGTTGAATACCGTAGCAGAAGCCCGGGGGCAATAGGTGTATACCGTAGCCGACAACGGTTGAAATAGGCGCATAACGTATCCTAACGGTGTCAATAGGCGTGTAACGTGTGACGCCTAGGAGATAAACGTTCCTAGGCAATTTTACTTACCTAGAAACGGAAGCCCAAACTAGGTTAAGTCAGCCTTAACCTCTAAATCCCAAAACCCGGTGGCGTAATACTTGGGAACCCCGATTTTCACACACGCAGACGCGCAAAAAGACAGCGCGCCGCCCGAGCGCTGAATAGGCGCTATCGCGGACCGCCAATCGCCCAAATATTTTGAAGCCGAATGGGGATGGAGGGGAGGAGAAGCCTAGGCCCGGGGGTGGATTAAAATGACGCGGAACTTGGTGTGCGCTTACGGTTACACCTGGACGGGGGGTTGAAAAGGGAAATGGGGGAAAAGGAACGGGCATTACTGGGGGGTACATACACCATGTGCCTTTTGTTCTCGCACTGATCTTTATCCGAATCGGGCTTTCGATTTGAGGGGTATACTGTATTTTCGGGGTGGGCCTTGAACTTAACAATGGGGCTTTAAGGTTGGTCAAAGTTCCGTTTTTTTATCGGAAAAGCGCAACTGTCGCCGTACTTTGTATGGAAAACAAGCGCAACTAGTTCTCTCTCTATTTCTCTCACTCTCTCACTCTCTGTCTCTCTCTCTCTTTCTTTCTCTCTAGCTCTCCCTCTCTATCTTTCTCCCTCTCTCTCTCTCTCTCTCTCTCTCTCTCTCTCTCTTTCTATCTCTCCCTCTCTCTCTCGCTCTCGCTTTCCCTCCCTCTCTCTCTCTCCTAGTCTCCACTATCTGACACTCTCCCTTTAGATATCCATGTTCCTGTAACAAGAGAAAATCCGCAACAAAAACATTCAGCTTCAGTCGAAGACCTCCGGAAAACAATGTGAAACTGTCAGGCGTCCCCCACTTTTAGGAGCCCTTCGGAACGTTTATGCATGCGCCTGAGAAATGCTTGATCGACCTGCAGGGCAAGTTTTACAAGTCAACGAAGTGTTCGGGCGTTCGAGATGTTATTCGAGTCTAAAGAGGAAAGTAAGGTTCCCTTTGATACAAGGAGAGAGAGGAGAGTGAGAGAGCGCGAGAGAGCGGGAGACAGAGAGCGAGAGAGAGACAGAGAGACAGAGAGAGAGAGAGAGAGAGAGAGAGAGAAAGTGATAGATAAATCAAGATATGCCACGGTAACAGTTTTACCCCAAAATTTCCGGTCTAGCTTGGTTTTTCAATGTTTGGCGAACGTGCCTTTCAAAACTATTCAAGCTGAACATTTTTGTGCCTATTTCCGGTTGTACCTCAATCTCAAGCCCAGCAAGTACCAAGTCAAATTTAAGCGAAAAACCTATCCGGGGGAAGGATTTTTATGAAACCAGCTGCCGGGGTGGGAATTGACTTTTCGCGGCGGAAAAATGAAAACGGCAGCCATTCGGTGGGGAGGAAAGCGCGGCGCCGAATGGCCACACAAAATGCAAACAGAACAACGACGGTCAAACGGACAGACAGACTGACAGACATACAGCCAGGGCCACACAGACAGACAGATGGACATACAGACATAGATAAAGAGGGAGCGAGATCAGAGAGAGAGCGAGAGAGAGAGAGAGAGAGAGAGAGAGAGAGAGAGGGAGTGAGTGAGAGACAGAGCGAGCGCGAATGAGAGAGAGCGAGAGCGAGAGCGAAAGAGAGCAATATACTGGCAAAGCCACTTACAAACCTACATACAGACAAACAGACAGATCCCAATACGACACACTCCGCCCTAACGGTCAGCTCAAAGTTTTTCCACGTTCCCGTTATGGGTGAGAGTGGGTGGACCATTTTAATAAGGCTTACCGAGGGCGGGGGATCACGATTTAGGATGACGGCAGCTAAAATTTTTCGGGTCCGCTGTAAAACGCTGGGGTACATTTTGTATGTACTTTGCGGACTGTCGGGCAGATGCGGGAAGAATACTGTCGTTAAAGTGGCGTTTTTAAATTCTGAGTTCTGGAAATAGAGATTTTTATTCCGGTACGTTTAAAATTGGGGTTTAATAATATCTCGTGTATTCCTTAATTTATGCAATCCGGTAGTTATTAAAAACTTGGGAAACGTGGTTATGAAAGTCTGGTTTGGCCCGTTTTAGTACTTCGGCTTCGATTGCTTAGCTTGGCTTACAATTACATGCATGTAAGACTTAAATTGTTATAGTTTATCGCTAGGCTTCGTCCTAAATTGTTTTACTTTACGTATTTTTTATCAATTTTGCTTATGGCAAACTGTAAAAGCCGCTTAAATAACGTCGAACGATGACAAATTCCTATACCGTAACTACCAAGTAATAATCGGCTGTCCTGACGACGTGAAATCAAAAAAATCCCCTGCCAAACTCGAGGGGAGAAAGTACCACCAAAATCCCGATTTTTTCCCCAACTCCCCCCGCACCCCGTCTACGCCTTAATTAACGTCCCATGCTTTTGGTGTAAGTACGAATGGGGGTTGGGAGAAATCACCTGGCAGGCCCCCGGGGAGCAGATTTCAGGCCTCGGGGTCGCCAATTTTCACGGGAAAAATTGGGGAAGGTCCGGTAATTCCATAAGGGAGCGGGTGCTCGTGGAGACTACAGGGGTGGGAATGCGTTTTAGATGTATTTGGATGTAATTGAGGGCATTTTAAGGGGTTTCAAGGGCTTGGAAGATACGAAAATCTACTATTTTTTTACTGGGTAAAAACATGTGCTTTAGAGATATTCGGCGTTATTTGAGAAGGTTAAGGACTTTTAAGAGGCCAGGAAGCGCGAAAACCGACCCTCTAAAGCAAGTAGGTCTAGAAAACTACGAGTTATGCCAGAAGACACTGAAATTACCTTTCTGCCAAAATGGTAGCGTTTTTTATGTCTCGGAAGCTGGAACGAAAGTCAGAAATTGCCAATCACGTCATGGGATTTTTGCGTAACTGTCGAGAGCTAGTTGAAACGGGTGTAAATTCTCGCGCTTCCCGAATTCTTTAAAGTCGCCTGAAAGCTAATGATTTTCTTGTAAATCGAATTTTATTTGACTGATGTTTGCGACGTGGTAACACCCAGCGCAAAGCTGAAGCGGGAAAATCTGGGTTGAGAGCCCCCTTAAAATAATATTAGGTTGTTAGGCTTAGGCTTAAAGACTACCAGAACGATGGAACGCGCACTGTCACCCCGAGGGTGCTGCCCCCAAGAACGCGCGGAGAGATGCGTCATTAGTGGTGTCCCGTACTGGGCAAAGGCCCCTGGGGTTTGGGGCGTCTCTGACTCCCTTCCCCACTTGGCCCTGTCGTGTAGTGGATAGCGCGTCGGACTGTGGAGCGAACCATCGCGGGTTCGACTCCCGCCCGGTGCGCAACTTTCTTGGCTCTCAACGGAATTTCATCGTTCTGACGGTCTTTAATGGGTCAAAACAGGCTAAACATGCGTAATTAGAGGTCGAGCGTAGTTGTCGATGCCTAGCTAGGTTTCGGAAATTGGTCCAAATCTTTATCTCCCAGCATTAAAATGTACACTAAAGTGGAATCGTTCTTAAGTGAGGTGTAGATGATCATAGTCGCTTAGATATGAGCCTTCTCGGTGGTCTAGAAAAGCAGGAATTGAATTCCGAGACTCTCCACTCACCGCAGCTCCTCCATGCGCATCAACAGCTTTGCGGAGCTTGGCGCCAAAGTCGGGGTGCACCTTGTCGCAATGGGCGACGAAGCGGTCGATGATGAAACCGTGGCAGCCGGCGAGGGCACCGCCAAGGTTGTCGGCGAGACGATCGCGTTCACCCTCGTTGAGGACCTGAATTTGGCAGATGTACATCGGTGATCTCTCTCCCTCTCTTTCCCTCGCGTCAAGCTGCCGTTAACGTTACGCTCCTCCTTACCTTAGTCCAAAAATCGCGGGGCTGATCGTAGTTGTGGTCATCTCCATCATCGTAGCGGGACACTTCGCCCTGGACGGTGTGCACGTGCTCCTTAGCATGACCGGTGCGCAGCTCAGCCGGGCCGTGGAACGAGTTCGGGTAGTAGTGAGGGGCCTCGCCTAAATACGCTTTTGCTAACTTTTTGTTCGTCTGCCATACCTTGAGAATCGTAAGTTGCGGCTCCATCACGCTGATAGTTATGGGCACGGGAGCGGAAGGGGCAGTTGATGGGCAACTGCTGGTAGTTGGGGCCAAGTCGGTGGAAGTGGGTGTCGGTGTACGAGAAGATACGGCCCTAGAAAATGATGCTGATTAGGTAAAGCTTAAAATCCCGACAACTCAAATGCCGACAGCCGAATTGCCGGAGCTAAATGCCGACACGCAAAACTCTTGGAAACGCATCGTCATTTGCATCTTATTTGTGTTTGTCAATATTTTAGCTGTCGACATTTCGGTTGTCGGCCTTGTGAATTCTTAGAATTTCGGCTGTCGGCATTCCAGCTGGAAACCAACCACCCAACAACTAACCAAACCATCAATGGATACCTGGAGCATCCGGTCCGGCGAGAACTCAATGCCGGGCACAACATGGGCCGGGCAGAAGGCCGACTGCTCGACCTCGGCAAAGTAGTTCTTCGGGTTGCGGTTGAGCACCATCTTGCCGACGGGGATCAGGGGGTAGTCCTTCTGGGACCACACCTAAAAAATTAAATTTAAACTACTTTTGGGCTAAACAATAGCAGAAAAATTCTTTTACAAACCTTAGTCACGTCGAAGGGGTTGAACTCAAATTTCTCGGCCTGCTCGAAGGTCATCACCTAAAAAATACGGTAGTTTAACAATTTCCGGGAGTTTTCCGGGAGGTACACGTTAAATTCATCTAGACCCCTTTGTCTTTTCGATACCTTTAAAGCATCCCAAACGATTTTCCAACCTGAATAAACACATTCCACTGCGGGAAATCACCAGATTCGATGGCATTGTACAAGTCGCGAATCGAGTAGTCCGGATCGTCAGAGGCCAGCTTGTTAGCCTTGTCGACTGGGAGATTCTTGACGCCCTGGTTCGTCTAGAAACGTACGGCTACCTCTGGACACCTTTCCGAATCCCCACCTTGAAGTGGAACTTGCAGTACACCGCCTCGTTGTCCTTGTTCACCAGCTTGAAGGTGTGCGAGCTGAAAATTGGATGTAATTTTGTCAATGTCACCGCAAAACACGCAAAATATGATAAAGAAATCGCAAAAAACGTTTTAAATAACACCAAAAGCTATTTGGAACACCTAAAAAAACAGCTTACCCATAGCCATTCATGTGGCGATGACCATCCGGAGTGCCGCGGTCCGAGAAGAGGAACATCACCTTAAAATAGGTTAGTATTGGGCTTGGGCTTGGCTTGGCTTAAGCTTAGCTTAGGCTTAGCTTCGCTTTAGGTTTCTCCAGACAAAACGGGCATTTTACCTGGTGGATGGCCTCCGGGCGGTGGCCCCAGAAGTCGAAAATGGCGTTCGGGTCCTAAAATTCAAAGAATTTTGCGGAAAGGGTCGCCACAGTACGCTAAAGCACGCTAGGCTACAGCAGCTAGACTACGCTATAGTACGTGAAAGTACGCTAGAGTACGCTACAGTACGCCGTAGTACAGCACGACAGCCGACTGATTTGCATTAACTCACCTTCAAGTGCGTCTGCGGGTTCCTCTTCTGGGTGTGGATAAATGAGGGGAAGAAGATCGGGTCACGGATGAAGAAGATTGGGGTGTTGTTGCCAACCTAAACAGGAAATTCAAGGAGGCTTCATTTTTCTCAAAGAATCCCAGCTAGCTTGCCAGACACTCCAAATATTTTTTTAATCTTTTCTCCAAAGATTCTTACCAAGTCCCAGTTGCCCTCCTGCGTGTAGAACTTCATGGCGAAGCCGCGCGGGTCACGGACGGTGTCTGAGGAGCCGGACTCGCCACCTGTAAATTGAAGATGATCCTCATAAAGCCGCCTGGACCTAATTGTCCTGCTCTTTGTTAACCTGGCTTTATTGTAATTTTCCCCATGTAATTTTTTGCTTTTTCCCCTGCTTGTTTTGCACAAATTGTCCGCCTTGAATCCCGCACGGAACCCCGGTCAGCGCTTTCACTACCCCCCGTGATAAGTTATCAGCGATTGTGAATCGGCCAGCCATGAAAAGTGAGAGGCAGCGGGGTACCCGAATGTGGTATATGGACCATTAAATACGAGTCTAGAATCGATTCAGCAAAAATCGTTAATCGGCTTACTTCCGACTCCCTTTAAACCGCAGGAATCGAGCGAGGTGGTCTACTAGGTCCCGACAGCTACGCGCCACGTCAAAATACGCGCGCAAGCGCGCTCGATTTTCTCTGACGAAACTGAGCGGTTTCATCTTTCTACGCTTAGCAGATCGAGGCGTCCTTCCATGCCTTCCCAGCCCCTTTAAAAACTTTTCCATCAAATCCACAGCAATCCCTGCTAGCCACCCTCCCAAACCCACTCACCAACAGTGGAGAAACGGACGAAGCACGGCGTCTGCTTGCCGACTTTCGAGAACACCTCGGCCCGGGTGTACTTGCTGATGTCGTGGGTGATCTCCAGATAGCCGTGGGCGCCTGGAAAAATAATTTGGTTTAAGCTTATTTTTGTTGCTCAGCTTGGCTCGAAATTGGCCTAGGATTAGGGTTAGGCTTCACATTTTCTAGTCAACCCACCAGCCCCTTTGGCGTGTACGACGCGCTCCGGGATACGCTCGCGGTCGAAGTGTTGCATCTCGTTCATGTAGACCACATCCTGGAAATGGTTTTTTGCGATATTTTTTGACATACACGGGCTTGCGAAGTCAGTTAAGCTAGGTTTTCCTTTGATTCCTACCATACCTGCATTAGCATCGGTCCCCGCGGGCCCACGGTGAGGACGGCCTTCTTCTCGTGGATGGGGGCCCCGGTCGAGGTGGTCAGGACTTGGGGTTTCTGCAAAAATAATATCGTCTTAAATTTATCTCTAATATTTAATATAGGAAACCAAAATTTTCCTAAACTCTACTAATTCCGAATTTTTCAGATGCGGATTTTTAGCAAAAATTTTGAATCTGAAATTCAACAGTTTCCATTTTTTACTTTTAAACATCAAAAGTATCGTTTTTCAAACATTAATTCAATTAAATTGCATAAATAATTAATACCAGCGCCTTTTTTAAATTGGTGTTTGAAAAATATGGTAGTTTAGATGCACCGTATTTTCGAAAATTCATACCTAAAAAAAAAAAAAATTTTTTTTTTTTTTTTTATATTTTTTTTTAAATTAACAAAAAAAAAAAAAAAAAAATTAAAAAAAAAAAAAAAAAAAAAAAAAAAAAAAAAGGGAAAAAAAACAAAAAAAAAAAAAAAAAAAAAAAAAAAATATAAAAAAAAAAAAAAATTAAAAAAAAAAAATTTAATTATAAAATTAAAAAAAAAAAAAAAAAAAAAAAAAAAAAAAAAAAAAAAAAAAAAAAAAAAGGGGGGGTGGTTTTTTTTTTTTTTTTTTGGGAAAAAAAAAAAAAAAAAAAAAAAAAAAATAATAAATTCAAAAAGGGGGGGGGGGGAAAAAGAAAAAAAAATGTTTATCTAAAAAAAAAAAAAAAAAAAAAAAAATTTTAATTAACTTGTACCAAAATTCTATTTTTAAATTATGGAAAAGGATAAAAAATAAAGTCTTTGTTTTATTCAAATTTTAAATTTACCGGGTTGTTCTGCTTGTAGCCCTCCATCTGCTTGTCGCTCGGCTTTTGCGGCATGGCGGCGATTTCCTGAGATAGACTCCTTTGAAAGCAGAAGATACAGCAATAGTGCATCAATATCCACGAGAACCGGGTGAAAATTGAGCGTGGAGAAAGTAGCGTATCGTAGCGGGAAAAAAACGGGGGAGGGAAATAATAGCCGGGAATCTGTGAATGCAAGGGGGGAACGGGGGGTGGTGTAGAATGAATAATGGGTGAGTGGGGGGAACACGTTTTTTAGCTACTGACTAATCGTCAGGGTCAGCCCATCGCGAAATTTGAGGTTTTTTGTGGTGGTTAAAACTTCTTATTTTTCTGATTTTACTCAAAGTTTTCGGTTTGAACCGTCTAGCTCTTCGTTTTTAGCTGTTTAACTTGCTTTCTTCGTCTAACCAGCAGCGGTTTTGTGATGATTTCGGAGTTTTGCGACAGGACATAGCCTAGGCCCAAGCCCTAAACCTAAGCCTAGCCTAAGCCTAAGCCCACTCGATAGAGCTTGCAATTTCTTAGAAATTTCAGCTTTCAAAAACTGTTGGACAGCCACGATCTTGGAGAAAATTCGGTCTGAGAGGCCCGACTTTGCTCATTTTTGGCTCATGAATCACAAAATGTAAAATCTAAGGATTTTTTTTCTACGATAACATTATCGTCCAGCAGGCTTCAAAGACGGGGTTTTGTTCAGAATTTAAAGCGCTATCGAACGAGCTATGTCACATCGAATAGCTCTTAAGTTTACGCCCCATTCCGTTTCTACCTTTCTTCTAAAGGGACGGTTTCGGCAGGTCCCGAAAAAATAAACAAAGAAAAATACAAATATGACAAAACCAATATTACAAGAGGTCGAATTTCACGAAAAAGATCCTAAAAAGCGAGGCACACTACAAGGAAAAATTTGGAATGACCGATTCGTGATCGCAGAAAATCGGGGGGTTGCGGTGAGGTGTGGGCCCTGGGGGCGCACAAATATTTGAATTGTGGGTGAACCCGCAGAGATTAGCCGCCCAGCAATCCGCGAAATCGAAGAAGGGTAAGCGAGTGATTTGGCGATGGTTTGGCGAGAGGTGGGGGTCAAAAACCGTATAAAAAGTGCCGAATTGACATTTTTGTCCTAAAAACCAATGAAAATCTTGATTTTGGAAGTGATTCCCAAACAATGCTGGATATTTCCCCAGGTTCCTCCTAAAAGACGATTTGCAAAATTTGTCCCCGTCCCTTTAAAGCTTTTTCTGAACCCGAAATAACTAATCTTTCAAAATTTCGAGAGGTTTAAGCCTAGCAAAATTACAGTAGTAGCATTGAGGTTGAAAGGAAAAATTTAGAATTATGCAAATATGGCCTCAAATAAGGGGAAAGTGAAAGTGGTGACGACTCGTTTTTGCGGACTGATTGCTATTTAATCGAGTGCCGCGGCCCGGAGAGCCCCTTATCATACAGCCAACACAACCCATTTTCGGGCTCTCTCGTGCAAACTACAGGAACATGACCCCCGGAGAACGCTGGAAATGTGAGCCCTGGGTAAACAGAGCATTAATTGTAGCCAAGATCCGTAATTGTAATACTTTGGAGAGAGAGAGAGAGAGAGAGAGAGAGAGAGAGAGGGAGGAGAGAGAGAGATGGAGAGAGGGAGTAGGAAGAACACTTTAAGCAGAATATATTTATTAAAGTTATCATCCATTATTCAAGTGAGAAATCCGTGTTTTTAGTAGCTTTCCGGGGTCTCCTTCCACCTCGAACCCACGCCGATCGAACGGAGCTAAACGGAATTTTCATTTTTGCTTAACTAATGTCGTCTTTACTAGGTCCAAACTATGCAATTTTAAAAAGTTTCTATTACTTTTACAACTGCAGTATTTTTAAACGATTATAAACTAAAGAGTTTGACAGAAAACCGTTAGAATACTCTCAGAAATTCCCGGAATCTTTTTTGCGAACCTCTGCCCGATTCAGCAGCAGATCCACGTGGATGGCGCGTAGTACAGTATCCCGGCTGTCTGTCATCATTAGATTCAGACGTTCGGCCTGAAAAAAATTGAGATGATACCTCTGGTGTTTTTCGAAAGTGTAAGGCGGCATGAGCGACAGAAAGACATAAAAAAATTCCGTGACCGACCGCCTGCATATCTCCGACCGTCAGGGCTTTGCTTCGCCGGCTTGCCATATCCTCAAGTCTGACCTGTAAAAATTAGATTTATTAAATATATGTATTTATGTACTAGAAAGTTGCTAAAGCTTAATTTTTAGACTCTAAACACCAACAGACCTCATACTCCTCAAGCCGTTGAATCGCCCGCAAGCAAACGGTCGCCTCGACGTCTTTCCCTTCCTAAATGCCACTTTATTTCCTTTTCACTTTTAAATCGACCTGTTTCGAGACCTCAATCTTTTCCCTTAATGCTCGCTGCACGGTCCTGATCGTGGTCAGAGGATCGCCCGCCAAATTATCGCCACCGGTGTGCATTCCATCGCCCTCACTAAATTAATAAATCTATAATAAAATAGAAATAATATAATAGAAAAAAATAGCAATCGCTAATAATAAAATCATGAAATCATCAAAATTGGTTAGGAAAACAACACTCATTAGTGGAAGGAAAGATATCAGTGCCATTAAAACACACTAGCTATACCGGTTGACCATATATTCCGGTGGCACGGTCGGCGTTCCAGCTGGTGTCGGCATCCTTGCCGGGGATGCTGTGGATAAACGGCTTGCTGATGGGGTTCTTTCTGAAATTGGGGCATACTCGGAATAACGTATTGTAGCGTAGCTATAACTCACCGCGTTGCATTCCCCTGCTCTTGCTCTTGCTGGGCGCCCTCCGCGGCCGATCCTTCTCAACAGGATACCCCAGAATTGTCACTTTTCGAATGCCCACCTAAACGGCAATGTGAACTCCTTGGAGACGTCGCCTAGCGAAAAGCTATAAAGTTTTTAGTGCTCGCTACCATAACGCGTGCTAGAAATTGCCAATTTTTAGGCTATCAAAAAGTGGACTTCTTCTCCTTTTTTTAAAATTCCAATTTCAAATGATGCAATCCGATACTAACAACGTTAAATTACCAATTTATTCGGGTTCTTGCTGATCGGCAGCGGCTTGTAGACGACCAGCCAGACGAAGTGGCCAACGTGGTCGGCGAATAGGGTTCTGAAATATTAGAATTTCGAAGCTTTTAAGCACTTACCGCCCTTCCATCCGGCTATTCGAGCGCTCGCGAATCTAAAAACTTCAAAAGCTCTCTACAGTAGATGATCACCTTAAAAACCAGCGAGCCTTTCGTGCCGTAATCTGCCGATTTTGCGCTTTCCACGTCGTTTCCGCAATCTGGCTCCCCCTTGCCCACGCTGACCTCGATTTTTGAGGCTAAAAAGAATTTTTTTATAGCATTTTGTCTAAAAGAATCGATATATACAAAGGTACAGGCTTTTACCGTGACTTAAACTCCTTTATAACCCGCTTAAAACTCACGAACAAGCTCCGGATCCACGTCAACAACCACCTTGTAGACATTGCATAGATATTTTAAGCCCAGGACAATATCGATTGGGTAGAGCTCGCTAAATGTATCATTCAAGGGGCCAGTCAAGGTGCTTTTGTATTAACGGAGAAAGGGGGGGGGGGGGGCCCCAACCCCCAGTGTATGGGTTAGCGGCGGGCGCTAACTTTTCGATGTTTCCGTGAGCATCGTTTAATGGCAAAGAATTTATTTTAATAGCGCTTCTGTGGTTTTTAGATATAAAAAGTTTTTAAAACATTTAAAATTTCGAAAAATTGTTTTTTCAACAATTTGCGATATTTTCACTTTTTAAGATTTCAGAACGCTTTATCATAATTTGGGTATACTGTTTCAAAATCCCCCCGCTAATGATCAAGCACTAAAAAAAAACAGAGCAATCCATATCACACCCCGGCTCGCTGGTCCATTTCCGGTTGTTGAACACGTTTGGGTCGCCCTGGCCGACAACTATCGGCACCCAGGGAATTTCTTCCAGATTCCCCTCATCATCCGACATTTTTTAATACAGCAAAATACAAAGCACGATAAAAAAATTCCTTGTAGTTGTCGTTTCGCAAATTCTAGGCCCGCGCCCTTTGTTCGTCGTCGGTTGCCGGGCACGGGTTACCATGCTCCACACCCAAATCACCAAGCACCAATTTATTCCTGGGACGTGAAAACAATGTGAAATTCCCAAAAAGGCAACAACGTGGCAAGGTGATAAACTTTATTTTCGAAACATAACGCAAAGCGCATTACGTAGAAATCTTTGATAACAAATTAACGGTTAACAATTCGCGGCGAGTGGCTCAGGGCTCCATCTTGCGTGGACGCTGAAAAAAAGGTGTTTTGATGTCGAACGCCGAAATTTGATAATATCGAAATTCATAATGTCGAATTTTCACAATGCCAAAATTCAGATTCGAAATTGCATAAATTCGTAGCTCAACACATCCGAATTCAGATCCGAAATTTCAGAATATCGAAATTCATAATTATGCCAAAAACTACGAAAAAAGTTCAAAATTCTGAATTTCGACATTTTAAAAATTAGCCAAAAATGCTATAGGTTAAAGAAAAAGCCTATATACCTTATAAAGCTCCAACGGGCTTGACGCGGGCGCGGGAATCCGTTTGAGGCCGCGCACCGGCGCCGGTGAGATGGGGATGATGCTGCGAGAAGAAGTTGAGATCGAACTGGCGTCGTCGCCGTGCCGGGAGCTGCCCTTGCGCGAGCCGGTGGAGGCGTCCGATTTACGCGAGGCCATCACCTGAAAAACGGAAATAACTAGGTCACAGAAAGTAGTGGAATTCGTAGACAGAGTGTTGGTACCCACATTGCTGAACGTTTTTTGGAGGCGATCCCTGCGCTCAATGGCTGTCCCTCGTGAGGGCAACATTCCAGTTGAAGATGAGGAGGAGGAGGTAGAAGGGAGGCAGTGGATGGCCGCCGATACCTAAGTTAAGATATTAATTATTACGGCCATTTTTATTAATTCAACGATTAAATAATACTCGAAATCAATTAAAAATAGCTTTTAAAAACCTAAAAAGGAAAAACTAGAAACCTTATTGAGCAGTGACGGCCCGGGAGCTTCATCCGTTTGATCGTTGGTGTTATTTGAAGATGTCGGTGCATCGGTAGGCGCATCTGCCGTAGCGCCATCCGCTCCTGCCAGAGCGCTGGACTCGCGCCACTTTCCCTCGTCCTCGTCTCGCCAAAGCGCCGTGTCCGCATCGTACGTCCTTTGCATCAGGTTGCGCATGAATTTCTGAAACGAAAAAAACTGAAGTCTAGGAAAAAGAAAACCTTGAACTTTGCCAATTCTGGGGATTCCAGAATTTCTCGGGAGAGGTCGACTTGGACACGGTTGAGCTTCTGAAAATCGAATTTTTAAAAAAGTGCACAAACTACTTTTGGCACTGAAGACAGAGGTTTGGCGATCGGGAAATTTTGGCTGGCCTTTGCGAAGAGGTCAGCACGTTCAGCCTGAAAAATAGAGGACAAAAAATATACAAAAATGTTCTTTGTTTATAAGAAAACTGAATTTATAACAACAACCAAAAAGTAGATACCTCGAGCTTGCCGAGTAGACTGAAAGTGGCATAGTTTGGCGCACGCAGCTCCTCTGGTGCATCAGCGTCACGTGGCAGCAGCTAAAATATGGAAATCAAAAGAATAACAGTGGTAATACAAACAAAAAAGTACAAATTCTGAAACTTAAAAGCTAAAAGAATTGAATAAAAAAATCCCGACATTGCTCATCGCCGCTGAAAATCCCGCGCGCATTGCCCGCTGTAAGTCCTCGCTCCCGGCGATCGCCTGAAAATAGCAGCAATAATGAATTTGAATATATACAAGCTACCTTATGGAAAAAGTACTTGTCGGAGCGGCGGATGTACTGGGCAAGTGATTCATATAGCGCCTCACGCAGTTTTTCCTAAATATAGAAAATTAAGGGCTTTTTAAATCCAAGATACCGGATCATTCCTGACTTTCGCGATGTTAATGTTCTTCTCAAAAGGGCCTAGTTTCAATGGGGTACGAAGACGCCTCGTGCGGCTGGTTACACTAAAAATGTGGTTTTTTCAAAAAAAATAATTCTTACCCCTCGGCCTTCCCGCGCAATTTCTGGGTCTTTCTGAAAAAAATTATATATGATTCTCCGCAAATAAGTTATTGAAATCTATCAATTTTTTAAAAACCAACGGTCTGCGGCGATCAGCGTCTCGGCGTCTCTCCTTGTTTTGCTCCCACAAGGCCATGTCCCTAAAAATGATAACAAAATAATAAAGAGCATTTTATCCCCACTCGTCGGTCAACGTAATCCGCTCCAGAATCGCGGCAGCCGTGCGGGCAGAGAGCTCTGGGTTATCGGCTATTTCACTGAAATTTTAAAGATATAAAATGTTAAAGATACTTTTTCGACCAAAAATGGCCGCTTTCTACCAAATGCCGACTTTTTGAATTTTTTTCAACGTTTTTTGATAGCTTTCTTTTACCAAAACACTATTAAAACACATCCTTCTTCAGTAACTATGCATTTCTAGATTTATACAAAATAGAACCCCCCTCCTCCGGTAAAGCGAATAGATGAAAAACATACTCATTCGCATATTTCTCGTCAATTTCCTTTTGCAGCGCCTCCAATTTGGCCAGGGTTTCCGCGTCCATCGACTTCTTGCAGTTCTCTGTAAAAAACGCTCGTAAAATTTGAATTTCGAAGCGATTTACCTCGTTTCTTTGCCAGATATTCGAGGCCACGGTTTCTCGCCGACTCCATGACCTGCGGATTGTTTCCCGACAGCTCATCTAAGCGGTCGTAGAGCTAAAATATAGCTTTCCTTAACTAATTAAAACATTTTAAACCACCTTTTCCACCTTCGATGATGCACCGAGGGCTCGACCAACAGCACTGTTGTGCGCCGCACGCACCAATTCAGGTTGATTTGCGGCCAGCTATAAAAATGCCTTGTAAAAGCCACAATTGACAATCCTTACACGAATTTTCGTCGTTTGAAGCGAACAGTAGCGCATACGACAGGAATCTGGAGTTCGATCTGGTAGCAGGGTGTAGCAAATTTCCTTCCATTTTCCTGAATTTTCAGTAATAAGCGTGTTTGGAAAATTAATTTACCCTTTCCGAAGAATTCGATGCCAGCTACGAGCTTCTCGTCCTCAATCATCTTCCAGTTGGTGGCAAAGTAGCCGGGTGTGTGTTTGAGGCTGAGGTGCTTCCAGCTGAAAAAAAAATCGTAAAATCGTAAATTTTTGGTATGTTGGGGATAACAAAAACAGCGTAGGAACGATTTCGCGATGACATTAGGAAAATGGAATCCTGACGAAAAGTTTGTTCTCTCAAAAAGATAAATTACCGTTGCCGACACTGTTGAGCGCCACGCGTCGGCGTCATCGTAGCCACTTTGGGCCAGCTGTGGTGTCCGTATTTCTCGACGGCGCATAGCAGAATCTGAAAAAGAAAACGGCTTTTTTTACTACCAAGAAACCGAAAAATAAACATTGCCCACCCCCTAAAAAAACATACCAAATCCTCATCGTCCGTCCATCGGCCATGCTTCACCTCAACGTCGATTTGTCTCGAATGATTCTTCAGCTCCCGAATGTTACGTCCAGGCATGAAGTGGGCGACTATTAAAAAGACAATGTTGCTATAAAATCTCACCCACCTTTATCCCAAGGAATGTTCGACCCGCAGCGCACCAACTCGATGATCCCCAGCAGCTTTTCGTCCTCCTCAGCCGTCCAAGGCCTAAAAAAGTTACTAAAGAGCTTTACAAATAGGTGCTTACCTCCCCACCCGATTCGCCAGCTCGGATTGGTACTTTTGAAAAACGTCAAATGGGCGCCGATTGGTGCCCAACTGCTCGGTGACCAGCAGCCAATTGATGAAGCCTTCGCGACCCTCGGTAAGTTCAGTCAATTTCCTGAAAAAAAAACACAATTAAAAACCGGAAAATATATACGAACTTCAACTCCGTGTCGTCCCATTTCTTGGTATTCACTTTCGGGTCGATGACGTTGATCCATTGGCGACGGCATTCGTCGGCCGTGCGATTGCCTTTGAACTAAACGCCAGCTTTTCATCAAAAATCAGTTTCATATACCGCTCGGGTGGCAATTCTATCCCATTTGATGTGTTCGGCGGGAAGTGTAATCGTCGGACCGTTTGTTCTGCAGCAAAAAGTATATTATTTTCTACTAACTCTACGTTTTCTACAGCGATTTTCTCTAAAAATTAAAAAGAAACATACTTTGTGTATTCGATAATGCCCAAGCGCTTATCTCGTTCAAGCCGCCATTCAGCCACTTCTTCTTCACCCGTCTCGACTCCAGCTGCTTTGATCTTGGCGGTGAGGAGCTCGACGTAGCGCGTATGCTCCAATAGTTGATGCTCGACGAGCTCGTTTTTCACGGCGTCCTTCAGCATTTTGATTTCTTTATCGCCCCCTAAAATACGAAAAATTTATTTTCCAAGGTGATATCCGTTTTTAAAAAAGCTCTAATACCCACATGGTCTTTGCGGCCTCACAAGCGGATCAAAAGCGTTGTTCTGCCGCTTTTCCAGGGCTTCTCGGTTCATTGGTGGAGCCTAGAAAGGGACAAAAATTTGCAAAATCAACCCCCAAGCTCACAAATCTCCTTCGATTCCGGAAATATGGCGGCAGGAAGAGCGTCACTTGCAGCCGGGCCGATTTGAGCTCGTGGCGAGTGTCCGCGAGCTTGCGCGCGCTTTTTACTTGGGCCTAGAAATTAATTTCCAGAACCAAAGGGCCAAAAACTTACAATTTTCTGGGCAACATTCGCCATCTCGACGTCAACCTTCGCGATCAGCTGCTTGATCAACTAAAACGCTCTTAAATTTTCTCGGATTAATTTTCACCTCGAGTCCAGCCTCCTTGACGACGATGGGAGGTACCAAGGATGCATCGGCTGGTGGCGCTGAAATTAAAAATATGTATCAACGCCCCTAGCCAAAGCTTTTAAAATCGTAAAAGACTCACTTGCCGATGTTGAAGGTCGATCTTGACTGTTCAAGTCCGTGAGCTGTGACATTTCCGGCTTTTCGAGTTCTGAAAAACGGGTTTGAAAACTGGTAAACGCCCAGAGCTGAAAAGATTTAGGAAATAAACAATTCTAAACAGCTATGGTGCAATTAAAATAGAGCAAAATCCATTAAAAACATATTTTAAATCGAAAAAGGGTGAATTTAGTTGAATTTGGTCCGAGGGCCCGTTTAGTGGGCGAGGGCGCGCGCGTTTCGGGGGTGAGCAAAAAACGGTTACGACGTCAGGGGCGCGCGATAGGAGAGCAGGCCCGGGTTAGCGATCAGCGCTTTTCGAGGTTTTGCTGTGTTTTCGGAATTTGTAACTTGTTTAAATTGAAAACAGGCCAACACAACTTTTCATAAACCACTTTATTCACGCTGGTAGTCTGGATATTGTAAATCACATGCAGTTTCAAAGAAAGGCGTTAATTCAACGGGGGGCTTTCATTCTTGTTTCGTCTTCCTCATCCGCTGATACCAGCCCCAAACGACCGGAATGGACATGACGGCGTGGAACGTTGCAAACGTGATCGTGGCTGCGTGAATCTGAAGTGTTTTTTTTAGTTTTCAAAAAAGGGAAGTAAGTAAGAAATTTTGTCGCTATTAACCCACCGGCCATCCCTGGTACAACTCCTGACGGAAGACATGATCTAAAAAGGCTTTTTGTTAACGCGAATTATATTAAATTACCTATCAACTTGTCGCAGCGCGTGCTTTTTTTGCAGCAAATCATGCTCGCCTAGAATTTTCTAAAGTGCAACGAGGTTAACGTACCTGATAGAGGGTTCCATTTATCGTCACATCACCATGGATGACTCGTTCCATATGGCTGATGCAGGACCTAAACTACGTGCGTTGCGTGCTGCGTTGCGGCTAGGTTTAACCGAAATAGATAACGTGTACGCCTACTCCAGCCGACTTCCAACTACTGTATCTTGGCTTACCGTTGGGCTACAAGGGCCTAAGGTAAACCAAAAATGCTGGTCTGGGCCTGACGAGTATTTTGGTGTACTTTACAGCCCAATAACCCTCAGGCCAGTCAAGATAGAAAAGATGGGTCGGCTGCTGTTTTTAGATGCGTTGCGTGCTGCGTTACGCCTGTAGTTAGTCGAATTACATGGCGTGTACGCTGGTTTTTTCGCGGTTTTTGACCGGTAAAAACCCACGGTGACACCTGCCATTCGCCATCGCCTCGTGACATCGTCTGCACCCGTTCATCCATCGGATGCCGTAGGTCCGCGCGCGTGAACTGGAGTTAATGAAGTTGCCAAAAGAGTAGAAAGGTACTTCAGGGTGTATCGTCACGTGTGGTCGCGCATCGTCTACGCACAAATGATGCAGCTAAATGTGTGAATGACAATTTCCAAGTACTTTTGTGTACTTTGTGCGTCGGGTGGTCTTCGATGTAGACGAGGGCACAGCTGTGGAGGGCGCGGGGGCACGGCGTGTAGCGCTAAATCATGATTTTGAGGTATACGCTTAGACGTATGCTTAGATTTAGTTTGTTTTTCTTAGCACAGTACCTTAGAAAATACTTACCCGAACCAAATTCTCATCATAGCACATCTCGTCGGCGCCGTGCACCACCTGTTCCATCGTCAGGTTGTCGGCGAAGGAGCCGAATAGGCATACCTAATCAAATTTTCAAGCGGTTCTAAAATCTGGGCCAGCCAAAAAACTATTCCGCACCTCCCTATAATTCCGCCACCCTGCGCACGTGGTCCCGATAAGTGGTAGCAGAACCGCGAAAAGAAGAAGCCGCCGCATAGCCACGAGACGCGCGGGTATAAATTTAGATTCTGACGCGGTTTATGGTAATCTATGCTTTACGCGCTCGTATGGTGTATTTTTATGGTAGATTGACATGTTTATCGCGAAAACAGGACAAATGGCTCTCGTTCGTTAAAAAAATTCAGAGAGGGTTCGTGGGATCGAAGAGGCCAGACGGGCATGGTAGTCGTCCTGTAAAAATCACATTAATCCAGTTTGTAAAGGGAGATAGAGAAAGAAAGAGAGAGAGAGAGAGAGAGAGAGAGAGAGAGAGAGAGAGCTCAAAATTCTTGTCTAACCTCATTTTTGGCCAAACAAAACGCTGCGACTTCCGCATTTTTGACATTTCCAAACGCCAGCAGCCGAGCTTCCCTGACGACCTTCTTAAAATCAGCATACCGGCTTACGGCCAACATTCTATCCATTTCGCTGAATCGCTGATGCCAGGCCTAAAAAATTGAAATTTTACGTTAAGGCGTTCTATCTTATATTTTTTTAGAGCTATGAGAAGTGTTCTGTGTTTATTACCCACCTGTTGTCTGAATGGCGGACTCAGCTGCAAAGCCTCTTGCTGCTCAACGTTCAAATTTGTCTCCGACCTCATCCTAGCCATGGCAGCGTGCAAACCGCGTAGAAGTATCTCGGCACCGTACACGAATTCCTCCTTAAAAATTGCATTTCATTTAAAGAAAAATTGCGATTCATACAATTTAATTTTTTAATAGCAAAGTAAATGGAAAACGTAATATTTACTTAAAAGAAACACTTATACCTGCGAATCACAAGCCCCAGCCCAGCGCTGCATCTGCGCCTCGTACTCCTCGTTGAGGGCCTTGATCAACTGCAGGTCCGTCTCGAAGTTGGCAATCATTTCGCGGCCCAGCTTTAGGTACTTGTTGGTGTCGAGGCTTCTGCGGAATGGGCGCTGAAAATAGAAATTTATGTAAGTAAACAGGCGTAAAAAACGGACCTTCTCAACTTCTCGGTTGACGATATCGTTGCAGATATCTTCAAGTTTCTGATCATCGCCTAGTCTGACAGAAGGGAGGTCCTGGAATTTGTATGATTTCTCATTTTTTTTTAAATACATACCTGATCATTAACAACAGCAATATTGGCCAGAATCCGCTTTCCAAGTGCTGGAATTTGGTCGGCGAAGGGCAGCGATTTGGCGAAATCGAATAGAGATTGAAATGGCATGGCGGGGGGTGCGGGATTGGAGAACGAGGTCAGGATTGAATCCACTATGGTGGGTGGGAATGAATTAATGAATTTGAGAGGTCATTGAGCGGAAGGGGTTATCAAGTCTGTTAATGCGTTAGGGACAGATGCAGAACAGGGTGCAGAAGGTGTAAAAGCATGCGATAAAACAGATAAAGGGTTTACTGCGTGCATTAATGGCTTATAATAATCGAGTCAGTGTTCTCATGTTCTCTCCCTCCTCTCTCTCTCTCTCTCTCTCTCTATCTCTCTCTCTCTCCCTCTCTCTCACGTTATCTCTAGCGCTCTATCTTGCTCTCTAGCGCTCTATCTTGCTCCCCCTAGCCCTCTCTCTCCCTCTCTCTCGCTCGCTCGCTCTCTATCTCTCTGTCTGTCTCTAACTACAGTACACCTCCAAGCATTTGTCACTTGGTCCTTCGCTGTACCCAGATATAAAATCCTCTTTTTCCATGACTCAACCTCTGATTTGTACGTGGGAATACAATGAACGCTTATGGCCATCATTTTGGTTCGGACCTCATTTATAGGGGGCTGAACCCGGTAATCCACCCGTGTCGCGTTGTTTCCCCCGACACGGGACAGATTCCGTCAGACACCACTTGACGGTCCGCTGGAATTGGGTTGAATTCGACAAATTTCGATCGCAAATGCCTTTTTAACCTTTATTGATTTTTCTGGTTTTACAAAGCGTTTTCTATAGCTATGATTCGTTCACAAAAAACGTACGATCTTGCAGATACCTTAAAATGCTTCGTTTTGCCGTTATTTTGCTTATTGCCTTTGTTACTGTATCGCAGGGCGGCTGGTTTGACGATCTTTGGGGTCAGGTAAGTATACAAAATTTATAAGCTGTTATTAATGGTGTTAGATATCTATGAATTGAAGTAGCACTTTTAGGCTACGAATGGTAAAACACTATCAAAATTTTTAAATCTATATTTTTCCATATCTTAGATCCAAAATGTAGCCAACGATGTCAGTAGCTCCGTACAAGGTGCCGGACAAGCTGTAAGAAATTTTCTTAAATTTCACTTAAATATATTAATTTTTGATCTAATTTATTTTTAGGCTGGAAACTGGGTGAACGAGGCCAAAAACAACGTCTGTTTTTTAAATTTTTATCAGTTTGAAATTAGACGGAAAGCTTTTTTAACAACGAGGTGAAGCCGAACGTCGAGAACATGACCGGAAGCGTAGGAAACCCACTGAATTTTTATTGATAATTTTTTAGGCTGCGACTTGGGTGAACCAGGCGAAAAATAACGTAGGTTTCGCTGTATATCTTTGATTTTTTTCGAATTAGACTGAAAACTTTTTTAACAACGAGGTGAAGCCGAAGGTCGGCAACATGACGGAAAACGTAGGCGTCATTTTAAAAATGCTTAAAATATTTCTAGGCCAAAGACTGGGTGGAAAACCAGGGGATGCCGGCCGTGAAGGGCGCGTGGAATGATGTAAATTGATTTTTTATATCTCGTATCCATGTTTTGTAGACGAGCAACTGGTTCGAGCAGGCCGGGCAGGCGGTTGGCCAGGTGAGAGCGAGCCCGGCTTAGGGTTAGGCTTAGGATGGGCCTCGGCTTCGGCTTAGGCTTTGATCGTGGCTTGGGCTTGGCTTAGGTTTAGGCCCAGGCTCAGGCTCAGGCTCAGGCTCAAGCTCAGACTGAGGCTTCGGCTTCGGCTTCAGCTCAGGATTATCCTAAACTTAGGGTGCAACCAAATTTGTGTATTTTCCACAATTCCAGGAGGTGAACAACGGCGTCAACGCGGTCAAGCAGGTCGTGTAAAACCTGGAATAAATATTTTTATACTTTTTTTATTTTACATGTCACAAGCTGCACGCTGATTCTGGGTGTAAACACGGCCCATTCTTCGATACAATAATAAAACCTGGGGGAGGAGTGGTGTGGGTCCACGGGGGGCAAACAGGGCCCCCGCCGTGAATCAGGTTTTATGAAGCCGGAGTGACGGCAGTTCTGCAGCACATCGATCATGTTTTAGTGGATTAGGGTCTTTAGAAGTACCTGATTTGACGCTTATTTGCTTATGATGATAGTTTATGGCTTGTTGTTTCGAAAGGCAAATTGGGTCAATGACGTTTTTGGGTTTGATAAGGCCCAACAGAGCCTAATTTGCATAACTGCGGACTGATAAGGGCTTTGCTACCTTCACAAAACGCTACAAAACGTTATTTGGCTCTATCTTGGCGTTTCGTCTCTCACTCACTCTCTCTCGCTCTCTCCCTCTCTTTCTCTCTCTCTCTCGCTCTCTCTCCCTCTCTTTCTCTCTCTCTCTCTCTCTCTCTCTCTCTCTCTCTCTCTCTTCTCTCTCTCTCTCTCTCTCTCTCTCTCTCTTGTTCTCTCTCTCTCTCCCCTATCACTCACTCACTCTCTCGCTGCTCTCTCTCTTTTTGACCAAGCTACAGTACACCTCTAAACATACCTTGGCTGGTTACGGTTATACTGGACCCCTGTCTCTCGCTATCTCTCTCTCTCTCTCTCTCTCTCTCTCTCTCTCTCTCTCTCGCTCTGGCTCTCTTTCTCTGACTCTTGGATTCTTACAAGATCTGGGCTGCCCTGGCCGTCCTTTCCTACAAGATTTTCTGATTATTATTTCGCACGTTGATTCGGCTCAGAATTCACGATTTTCCTAAACGAACTCTGCTTTGACTTCCTCAGACTCAATCGTGAGTCATTCCTTTCTCGCTACAAAATAAATAAAAAAACAGCTATCTCCTCTCATTTCGCAAACACCCTCTATTTGATTTCCCCCCTTAAAACAGTGTGGGAAAACTCGCGTCCCACAAGCAATGCCCCTGGAATTCCCACGTAATTCGACACTGGTTCCCCGGAACCTCGGATCATAGCTATGATGATGATGGAACGCTATGAGCTTTGAGCCGGCATCTCTGGGGAACCATAAACAAAGCAGCCCCACTTTTCCTCCACGCCCTCCATCCCGGAAGCCCAGTTTTCCGTTTCCCCCATTCGCTAATTACGATCTTTTCTCGCGGTGTTGGGTGTGATTCATCGTTGCTCATCGATTATAAGCTTTTGGCTGTCACCTGGAAGGTTGGCTATCATAGACGATGTCACTTAATGGTTTCTTTCATCCTTCTTTTGGACACATGGACACTAAACTTGCGGCCATGTGACGTATTAAAACGAAACTTGTAGATCACCGTTTAGCATGGCTTCAAGCTAAAGCTTTCCTGCCGCTCTTTATATACCTGTTCCGTGAAATTTTTTTACTAGTTTCCATAATTTTATGGGCCATGAAATTTCCCGTTTTCAACGTGCTAACACCTATTTTTATCTTATTTTCCTATTGTCATATTTTTCAACATCAGTTTTTTCCTATAAAGGCCAGTGGCGATCGTACGATGTAATCTGGCTATTTCCAGCAAACTCCAGGAAATGAAGGTCCTGATCTTAGCTGTCCTGGTGACCCTGGCCTCGGCAGGATTTTTCGATGATATTGCCGATGGATTCAAATCAGCATAAATAAATATAAAATTCAGACAAAATTCTTTTTTTTTTGTAGGCTGGAGACTGGGTGCAGAACAAAGCAGCGCCTGCTGTCAAGGAAGCTGCTAGTGATGTGAGTTATACGAAAATTCTTACATGTCGACGAATTTTGAACCATTCCCGGCTATTTTAAATAGTAAATCATTTAAACGTTCTTATATTTGTTTTTAGACGGGTGATTGGGTGCATGAGAAAGCCGTCCCAGCCGTGAAGACTGCCGCCAGTGATGTGAGGATTTTTTAGGCTAAAAATAATTTCAAACATTTTAGACGGGCGACTGGATCAACGACAAGGCTGTGCCCGCCGTGAAATCTGCGGCTTCTGACGTTGGTTCCAAAAATTCACAAAAATCCACATTTTTAGACTCACGACTGGGTGCGCGACACGGGTGTTCCTGCTGTGGGAAAGGCGGCTTCTGATGCCGGCGACTTCATCCAGGGCAAGGACCGGAAATAGATGATCCGGGCTTTGAATTTGAAAAATGCTTTGTACCTTGCAATTTTTATGAATAAAGTTTTTTAATTAGAACTAGCCAATCAATATAGAAAAACGTGCCGCGAAAAAAATGGACCCATTTATACTGCAAGGCAGGAAACTTACGTTAAGAATCAACCGACTCCTTTAGCAATACCCTTCCAAGCGATGGATAAACAGACAAAAAAAGCACATTTTCGTCTTCTGGCCCGATAGTACCGGAAGATCGCATAAGCGGTTGGGTAAGTTTCGTCTCCGGCCGCTTTCACGCATACTGTCTGTACCTTCTGAACCCCGGATGGATGCCGATTCCCCCCCATCCACCCACACCCTCCCCATCGTCGGAGCAATCTGAGGCACTTCCTGTAAACGGCAATATGAACTTCCCGAAATCCGATACTCGTTGATACCCTGGATTGTAATTTTGGCCGAACGGCTTGGGGCCTTGTGATGACTTCCGGAGAACGTCGTAAACATACCGCCCACCTCCTATAAATTAAACTGAACCCGGTAGTTCTTTCTAGTTTTTCGTTTTTCTTCCGGGTAAGGGCTTTCCAGGTATCGGTCATTAGCATTTTTGCAAAACCACGTTTTTAGCAAACCCCACAGGATGAAACTCATCATCCTCGCCATCCTGGTGCCTCTAACCTCCGCTGGAGTTTTTGATGACATTGCCGGTGGCCTCAAAAAGGTAGAAATTTTTTTAGAAATTATATGGAATCCCGATTCCAGACCGGCGAGTGGGTTGAGAAGGAAGCGATACCTTCGATCGGGAAAGCCGGTAGTGACGTGCGTTTTGGTTGGCTTTTAATAGAGAGGGCGCTAATATTTGATATATCTGTCTTTAGGTCTGTTTGGCTGCCTGTCTGTCTGTCTGTGTCTGTCTGTCTGTCCATTTGTCTTCTTGTCCGAGAAAGTTAATCTATAAGCTATTACGTTCTATAAACTTTTTCTAGGCCAAAGTTTGGGTTGAGACAAAGGGAGCGCCGGCTGTTCTGGGTGCGGCTAAGGATGTAAGTTTTTCGAGATTTTTTTGTGTATTGCTATTTGTTGAATACGATTTAGAATCCGTAATCATAATTTTAAAGCCTACGTAAAAACCTTGAAAGTGAGCTATTTAACCTACCATTATAGACAAACAAATGGGTCCAAGAAAAGGCGGTTCCTGGAGTCGGACGGGCTGTTTCAAATGTAATTTTTTTTGTATATTTTTATCTTTTTGCTGTTAATAATTTTTTAGGCTGGCGACTACATACAGGGAAAGGATCGGCAATAATGACTTCAATTTTAAGTTCTCAAGTTTCTTAAGCTGCTGTGCAATTTTGCCAATAAAAATTTTCCTGTGACTGAAAATTCATCAAGATACGCAAAAACTGTGCTCCAAAACCAAAAATTAAACGTTTGCTGGGAAACGTACCTATTGAATGTTATAATTCGGGTCGGCTAATTGGAAATCCGGCTCAACGATGAGGCATCGAGTTCCACAGCCTGCAAACCTGGCACCGATGCAAGCCGTTTTTGATGATTCACCGTTGAGCCGGCCTAGATACTGTAGCGCTTAATCCGATTCGAGTACCTTTTATACGGTTCGATAGTTCAGAAGATCGCCAGTTTGCGAACCGAAAAATCTGCTGTTTTTATATACCCAAAGTGAAAAATGCTTCCGTAAATATTGACGCTGCTAAATTTCGTTCTGGCCGGTTGAAACAAACCGCACGTTAAGGGGGGGGGGGTGTTGTCCCCTCCTGTTCCCCTCAAGGGGGTGGGGGGCGGGGCGCCCCCCCCCCCCCCGGGGGGGGGGGGGGCCCCCCCCCCCCCCCCGGGGGGGGGCGGGGCCCCCCCCCCCGGCTGGCGGGGGGGGGTGGGGGTGGCTCCCCGGCCCCCGGGGGGGGGGGGGGGGGGCGCGGGCCGGGGGACCCCCCCCCCTTTCGAGGCTCCTTTAAACGGAAAAATCTAAGTCAATTTTTAGAAAGTTTAATTTTGGTTTCGCGGAAAATTTAATTTGGTTTTTTAACCATTTTTAGAAAATAAGATCATGAAGCTGCTTTTCTTGATCGTCTTCTTGGCAATCGTCTCGCCTGTGTTTTGTAACGACCTCGTCGATATATTGCACAAGGTATCTTGGTCTACGAATTAAATAAACCCTATTTTATAGATTGGCCATAAGTTTGAGGAGAAACAAGACGTAATTATTGACAAAGTGGTCAATGGGGCAGTCGCTGCTGTAAGTGCTTGAAATTTTGGATCCTAAAAACAACTCAGGTTGGCGGGCTAATTGTTGGTGGCCGTAAGCGACGTTCTATTCAATTTACTCATGCCAACGTGGGTTTTCCAATATTTTTAATTGGTTTTTATTCATTCTCTCGCCTATAATTCTTCTCGGCTTTAGGCAAACAACGACGCGCAAGGAAAGAATTGACGATTGAGGAAAGGAATCAATGATTTGAACTTTAAATACCTCAAAATCCCGGCCTTCTAAAGATTTTGTATCAATAAAACATTGCTTTGTTTCCTCGAGAGAAACGTATCAATGCAGTTATCAATGCTATTCTGATGATTCACGGTAGCGCCGGATCAAAAACAATATATCCCTCCCGCATCGCACTACGTTTTATGCCGTTAAAAAATCAGAACGTAGCGAGCCAGTAAACATCAAAATTTACGATTGCTAGGAATTAGGTCTTTAATTACGCTTTGTAATTTTTTTGCAAGTTTTGTCCTGTAGTTTTTACCGCCGTCCTTACTAGCAAAGGCATGGATGGGCTTGGGCTATGTAAGCGTAGGCGTTTACGTTTAGGCTTGGATGTGAGCGCTCTGATCGTTGTGAGCTGGGTGTCCTAGCACGTAGGCTCGTTTTCGCACTTTGCGTACCGCGTGTAGTTTATAAACCGGGGAGTGGGAGTTTTTACGGGGGCGTCGATTTACTTAAAAGGGCAATGATCACTTCCTGACACGATAACCACACAATTCTTGAAATTCGAGCTGTGCGTGGGCATCGAGTAGATCACACCTCACTAGGGCGCATGAGTCATTGTTTTCGAGATTTTACAAATATTGAAGTGAATTGTTGATAAATTTATCCAGCCTTTGCAAAGAGTTTACAGAGAAACTGTATATAAAAACTCTTGCAAAAACTGCGAAGGCAGCTTTCTGAACTACGATGGAGGTTTGACGACCTCTTTCTCATAAAATTTGTTTAAATTCCTCAAAATTCCAGAAACTCTGCTGATGAAGCTCCTTCTCCTAATCTTCCTGGTGGCGCTGGCCTCACCGGTGGTCTGTAACGATATCGTTAACCTATTCAAGAAGGTTTAACTGCTTCAAATTATATACATTATTTTTTTTATAGTTCGGTAAGAAGTTCGAGGAGAAGTCGGACGTACTCATCGACAAGCTGGCTCAGCGAGCCATTGGTGTGGTAAGTTTTTACTAGTTACGATGGTTAGGCTCCAACATCGTCGTAGCGAACATTTTTCTAGGCTGTATTTATACCTTTGCAGGTTGGCGGAATCTTTTCCGGTGGGCGTCAGCAGCGATCTGTGCAATTTCCTGGTGCCGGCACGGTTTACCAGAACAAAAAGCATTAACCCGGTGATGCCATTTTTTATGCAATCTAAAATGGTCTTTAGAATCATACTTTGGCACGGCGTCATCGACATGTAACCGTCTGCGATTGGAAGATTCTGCCATATAAATATTTTTCATGTTTTGTTCAGCACCTACTAATCAATGACACGGTTCCAGTCTTGGTGTCATACCAAGACTGGGAAGTTTGAGGGAGACAAAATCTATCTATCCCTTGGGACAAAAAGAACAAAAGTTTACACGATAGAGCGAGTTTACACGATCGAACCAGTTTATAAGGCAAAAAGGTTTTTACTACAAGTCGAGTTTATAGTGCTAAACTTAAAGGGCTGCCGACGGCATGTGGCGATCCCCCCTCATCAACAAATTGGCAAGTAGCCAACAGGGGAGAGGCGCGCCCAGGGGAGAGGCGCAGGACATTTCTTTCGCGCGAACCGATGACGATGCCGTCGGCATCCCTTTAACACGACATCACGTGTACAAGACCGCACCTATTTTACACGATAGAACCTTTAAATTCCCATGCCCATGGGGGGAGTCGCGCCTAAAAATGAAACCCTGAAATTTTTTCTATCCCTCACACCCTATTTATCACAACCGCAAAATCGGCCATGATCTCACCGCATGATCCAGCCGTAAAACATATACATGTGCTAGACATTACAAAAAACCGGATAGCTTACGTAAGACATTTGCGAAATCCTGTATTCCGCTTATTCACGCTTCAAAAACAACTTTGGGGTGATGCTCTATATATAAGCCAACTATGCACGAGCTGCAATTGCCCCTGAAAACCTACAGAGATGCGGCTCTTGGTCCTTGCCGCTCTGCTGACCCTGGCTTCCGCCGGATGGTTCGACTTTATCACCGAGCCCGTTAAGAAGGTAAACGTCGAGCTCGTTGCCTCAACACTAGATCTCCAGGGCGCTGAATGGATTCATGAGGAGGCCGTCCTGCCAGTATGGGGTGCGGCTCAAGATGTGAGCCTATCCGACTTAACCACTAATTTCTAAAAACAATTATTATTTAAGGCGGCTGAATGGGTAGAGAAGGAAGCGGTGCCAACAACTTTGGATGTGTTGGATGAGGCTGGAGATGTGGGTTGCTCATGTTCAGAATTTCCTAGATTGAGTGCTCTTTTACGACTGGCTATCGAACCTAAAAATGAAAATTTCGAATATTCATAATCTAGAGTTTTCTCAAGCTCCAATTTTTAAAGCAAGGATACAAGGACTAGGCGTGTAATTGCCAGAGTTCTTAACGTTTAGATTGAAAAAGGAGATTCAGAAAATTGGAGACTCTGGCAAGTCCGCCTTGGCCCCAGCGGCCGGCGTTTAAAAACACTAGCGATTTATGACTTTATGTATGATAGCATATCGACTTTTGGCAAATGCTGACTGTGCATGTATAAGATTTGCAAAAACCTCAAAACACTCGGCATTTCAAAAACCTCGTCTCTCGCATCATCGCAACTAATGGGAAGCCCATTTCAGGGCGTGCAAAGGCTCGGACAAAAGGCAAAGGCTTACACTGAACAGGTTAGTGATCACCTAAATACACAATTTCTAGATCTAGCAGCCAATATTGGGGAAAACCGGCAGAAACCGTGTATAAAAATTCTGTATTACAGATCATTAGATAGGATGTGGTTTCGCGTCCAGGCAACGTCGCCACGACATTGGTGCGTTGCGCTTAAGCCGGCCCTGCTTTGCAAATAAATATATTTGTTAGCTATTTAAATGCATCAAATGGACAAAGTTTATGCAAAGAAGCAGAGCGTCTTGCGTGTTTTATCGATAACTGTTACTAATACCGGGAAATTGCTGCGACTGATTTCTTTTGTACTGTTTGTTAGCTAACTTTAGCTTTCTCAAAAAAAAACAAAACAGAAACCAAACAAAAAACCATCTTGATTAAAAATATTAGGCATACTGAAGGCTAAAGAGAACAGCCCAAGCAACTTTCCAAGCCTTGAAATCCGATACCAGCGCCCTTGCGTGCCAAAATGTTTTCAGGGGTGATGCGTCAGTCTATTTTCGTGATCAAGAAAAAAAATAGATGACACAGAATTCAGGGAAATTTTTGTTAACCTTTGCAGGTGCTAACCAAGAAGGTTCTTGGAATGTTCCATTTCACTCCGGCAAGTGCAACGAGGTCGTCGGGTCAAGAATTGTTTAGCCAGACCTAGCATAGTTTAGACTGGAAGTGTATGAAAACCACCGACGAAAGCTGTTGAAGCAAGCCTAACCGAAGTCTCAGCCAAAGCTGAAGCTTACGGAAGCTACTAACAAATTTCTAATTATTATTTACTCCAACTTTTTGATTTTTAAGGGTCTTATGCTATTTTACAGAGACTCAAAAAGGAAGCTTTCCTTCCTGCTCGTCATTGTCGTCCTCATCTCGAGCAGCCAATGTGACTTCGGTGATGTCATGAAGAACGCAAGGCTAAAAACCATACCTTGCCGGTAAAATCTAGCAGTATTTCAGATCAGCAAGAAAATTGGTGAGAAAGCCGAAATGCTCGTCGACAAAACCATTGAGAAAGGGACGGATGCGGTTAGTTTGGCCCAGGTTTTCAAAACTTTGTATATTTCTAGGTTGCTCGATTGGCAAATCCCGTGAGGCTTTGTCGGGATGACTCATCGTCGGACAACAAGGTCGTGGTAGGTTCAAAGCCCCTCTAATAATAATAAGTTCTTTCATCTAGAAAATCGGAGTTATATTTACGTATTTTAGGAAGATGGCAAGCGAGAAAGTCGAGTAACTGGCCTTCACTGATCATGATATCGTCGTTTTATACTTCTGTATTTTGTGGATTTACCAGACAGCATAAATTTATTTTACTTTTATTTACAGACACCTTCATCATTTCACACATAATAATTTGCACTGGAGAATTTTTGGGGGCTTGCTAAGAGCTATTTTTCCGGCTCAGTGCTGCCTGAAAGTTTTGGCAGCTCGGTTAGCGTGAGCCGGGAAGGAAGCGGCTTCGTGCTGCTCTGGTTCGGCTTCTTCTTGGAAATCTGCCCGGATGCTGTCGTATTCATCGAAAGGGGCGGGTTTTTCATCTTCCTGTCCTGCTACTGGTACTGAGGCGGCTGGAAGTCGGGAGCCTTCCCCTGAAAATAGAAGTGTTTTTGCAGGCTTGCGATAGTGGCTATCTTTCTCTCTCTCTCTCCGGCGCTCTCTTTTTCTCTCTCTATCATTCTAATAAACTTACCATTGGCAACGTCATCGTAGAAGCAGCGCATCATCTGATCAAACCTATGGTAGCAGGCCAGGTAAGTCAGGTCGAGTTGGGTGACTTTTCCGGGTGTCTAAATAAGATTTTAAACGGACATAGCGGGCAAGTGAGGAAGGGGAGAGAGAGAGAGAGAGAGTCAGAGAAAACAGTGGTATCTTTAAATTACATTAAAATCATACCTGATCACAAAAAGCCAAGCACTTGTTGCCAGCCAAAGTCGTCGCTACCGCATTTTCACGGCAGCACTGGCGATGGTCGCGGCCCTGGAGGTATAGTTTTTGAGGTTCACTAGTTAAGGTACTACCTGAGCAGCACAGAAATGGATATCAGCAGCAGCTTGCGATGGGCACTGGTCCATTTTGAAGTACATGGCCTAGAAATAGAGGCATAATGTTGACAAAGCTCCACATCAGTGAAGTCAACTACACGCGGTGAAAGGTATACATGGGCACTAACGTTCAAAACCCTATAAAACCTACTCGAACCGCCTCTTTCGTGTAGCGTCCATAGGCGCATTTTGTCATGCAAGCATCCGGAAGTTGGCGATCACGACAGCACGACGCGAATTTCTCATCCGGGCTCATGGATAGAGGATCGGACTAAAAGTGGCCTGAAACGCTACAAATTGCTATACCTGTTGCGGAAGTCGCAGCGTCTTCGAGGAGTGCATCTTGGCCGCCAACCGATAGCAACCGTAAGATCCGCAGCCATAGCCAGGCCCGCAACCGGGATTGCAGGGCTGAAATATGGGACGTCAACAGTATCGTTTTGGAATCCACCATTGGGGGAGGGGGAGCACCATAGCCACCACATCCTCCAGTAGCACCACAAATCCCTGCAGCCATACAGGCCGAAGAAGCCTCGAAAAGACCGGCGAGGGCGAGGAGGACAAGGGCCATTTCTGGAATGTAAAACATATCTTGAAGTAGGGGTTGCGTAGCGTAATTATTTTTATATCAATCGAAAGCACTCGACAAGGAGAAGATGATGGGGGCGCTAGATCTGAATTTTTTTTTACAAAAAATTTAGATTTTTGTTCTTTTAGCACAAGGCTAGGTAAGGCCGACAAGGTCGTGCTTGTTCAAGTTGGCTTTAAGAAGGTTCAAGAATGAGTTCGAATCGGAAAAACGGTATACGGTAATACGGTATAATAGACACATGTTTGGCATAGAATAAACGGATATAATAGCACTTTTTAAAATACTAAACGGATTTTCGCGTAAACGTACTCGTCTTTTCCAAAAGCTTTCGGATGGTATAAAAATCATTACAATCGGATACTTCTACACCGAGATAGTGATTTTTTGAACTATTTCAACCCCCTAAAACTTAAAAACCAAAACACAAGCGAAAATACAGTATTAACAACAGCTTACTCGAGCCCTGATGCCTGCCATTGCAACCGGGTGCCCATTTTATACCATTTTCCAGGGTCGGTAGACCTTGCTGGGGTGAAAGTTGGTGGTTGTGACTCACAATGGCCGTTGGTCACAATGGAAAGTTGGAACTCGGAGCAGGAGGAGGAGCAGGGGAAGGGGATTCCCCTGGTTTCTCATGATTTCTCTCTCTCTCTCTCTCTCTCTCTCTCTCTCTCCCCCCCTCTCTCTCTCTCTCTCTCGCTCTCTCTCATCATCATCTCTTCCCTCCTCCCCATCCTAAAAACGATACCTGTGAATCATCCATCCCTCCCGGGGGTCAACTCCTGGGAATTTGCCAAACAGGGAGGGGAGATTGGGGGGATTATTTGCATACGAGTGGACGTCACAAATAAGCAAATTTCCAAAAAAATATCTTTTAGACGTTAGCTAAAAGAACAAAAACTATTCAAAAAAAGTCTAGACTCTCTGCCGAATTCAGATGACTTACGGTAGCAGTTTTACACAAACTTAACAGTCGTTTAAATTTTTCTAGAGCGAAGTTTCAAACTGATCTAAATTTTAAATTACATTTAACTAATATGATAGTATACGTAGGAAGCCGAGACAACCAACATATTTGGATTAGTCTCTCAATTTTTTTTAGCTTGAAGCGGTTATAAACTCTACTAAAAAGCTTGATAGGAGCAGTGAAATTAAAGTAAAAAGTATAAAAATGAGAAACTACCAAGGGTTTTTTGTCGAGTTCTCGTATCAAAGTTCAATAAAATATGCTTTGACAATTTACTATTTGAATGGGTCAGAATACGGGAAAAATCGAAAATTCTTCGAAGCTCGGAACTTTGAAGATTTCGACTTTCATGGGTGGGACATCCCTTTAAACTAAAAAGTTCTTTTCATCCATTTTTAGTACGATGCAACATCACCACCCGGACCATTCAACAGTACGCGCCCCGATATTCCACAGGGGTCAAGAAGAATGCCGCGTCCCGGCCTGGTCCGTGCCAACCTGGTCCCCCGCTTCTTTTCAACGGCTTTTCATCGCGAGGGCTTAGAGCCTTCTTTATCAGTCGGCCCCTCCCTTACTCAGCCCAACAGCTTGGATAGGAGCTTTTTGTTCGCGGGGGCCGGGAGGCTGGGTGTTCGGGCTCAATTCGTGCTTTCTTGTGGTTACTTTCTAACCTTGGAAACGTTTTTAGCCGAGGTTTTGTAATAGGGCCGATCAGATAACGGTCGGATCGCGCTCGCTCGCTATCTCTCCCTCTCTCTCTCTCTCTCTCTTCTCTCTCGCCCGCTCTCCCTCTCTAATTTGTATCTCTAGCCTTCCAGCTAACTCTCGCTCTCTGTCTCTCACTTTCTCTCTCTCTCGCTCTCTCTTTCTCTATGGCCTTCTCACGCTCTCTCACCCTCCCTCTTCTCCCCTCTCTCTCTCTCTCTCTCTCTCTCTCTCTCTCTCTCTCTTTCTCTATAGCTCTGTGTCCCTAACAGCCTCTTCCCCTTTCTACCGCTCTCTCTCCCCTAACTCTGTCTCGTCTCACTGTCTCTCTCCCCCTCTTTATTACAGAGTTTTTATCCCCATTTATAGCCTCCTTATTTTTGACAGGTTATGCTTCTAACTTTCCCCGCTATTTTACTGCCTTCCGTTTTTTACCCCATCATAAAGAGGAGGGGTGGTTGAATGTTGCGTGAATTGGAGTGTTCGTGACACCTCCAAGCCCCAGTTTACAGGCATTTACGGCTCGCCGCCAAGGGGCTCGACACACAGCTGATAATCGGAAAAGGGGGAAAGGACACGAAAACGGGGTGCCCCTACCTGAAGCACCCTCCTTTTATTGCCATGTACTAGCCTGGAGGGGCGGGGGAAAGTCTAATGAAGATTCTGGACTAATTGCGGACTTACAACTAATTTTCTGTGTTTTTGTTAGTTTCAAGAAATTCAAATAATAATTTAAAGGGACTAGTAAGCAAGGAATCAACCCGTTTCTATATCCAGACAGCTACACGATACGCGAAAGGACCAAGGGGTGGAACGTTGGATATTTGGTCCTATTTGGCCCACAACGCGAAGCTTTTTTACGCTCCTTATTTAACTTTCCGTCCCTTCTCTCTCTCTCTCTCTCTCTCTCTCTCTCTCTCTCTCGCTTTTTCTCGCTCCTTCATTCTTTCTATGATGCTATCTTTTAAGCGTCTTTTGGAGTTCCACGTAGCTGTCGAGACCTAGTGCACCGGCTGTCGAAGGATAGGTTTTTTTGGCGCTTGCAAGCCTAAACCCTTAAATTACAAGGATTCCAACTTTCCAAGTATCTTTGAAGAGACCTGCGATTCCGGCATGCAACAAATTCCGGGCCCATCCCTCTGATCAACGTGTGAAGGAGTGAAAGGTGTGAAAAGGCTCTTTCCGGTGCCCCCTCCGAATTGCTTTACTGCCCCCCATCAATGTCCCGATCACCACCACCCCCATTCCCCCAAGAAATCATCCCTGTCATATGCAAATTGCGTAACGGGCCTTTCCCCGGGCAAAGCGGCCCGCTTTTCAACTGTCCACACCCATCAAAGCCAAACACCTCTTGGCGGGCTACGATTTCGCACCCTCTAGTAGTTCGGAGTAGTGGTACGTCTATCGTGGCTAGATTTTTGACTTGTGGGTCCCTTTAAAACCTGCAAGCAGGAGCGAGAATCGACCCCTTTGATGGCTATTGTCGAGATCGCAACAAAGAACGTAGCGTTTCTGTCGATGCCTAGAATTTAGAGGGGGTCGATTCGTTCACTTACCAATCTCATTAACGTCAGCCAAAGGAGGACTTATGACCTTTTTGATGACTTGGCATAGAAAACAGCACATTTACCAGTAACGTCACACCAAAATTAGGATTATCCCGGCAAGCGTAATTTGTTGCGCTTCGTCGCTTTCGATCCTTATACGGTATCTACAGAATGGACTAGTAATCGGCAGAATAGTCCCACCAAAAAAAGTTTTAAAACAGAATCAACGCCATTTTGTAGTTGTCAAGACCTAGTCAACAATAAGAAGTCGAGATTTTCGCACTTCCCAAAACCTTTAAACCGATTTTTCCGGCTAGATCTACCCTAATTAGCATTTCGGAATGGTCGATCATCAGCTCGGGCGGTGGTTGTTGATGGTGTGGCCTCATCTC